GAAGCTAGGAAACATTATTTATATATGTATATCTGTTTTCCTTATGTTGTTCTTTACAGTTTTATCAGAAATGTCAAGAGTTGCTTGCACAGCTGAGCCAAAATCTTGAATATTTCCTATTGTACCTTTTGTCCTTTCATTGTTGTACAATCAGATGTGAAAATCTGACCAAGAAGAGGATAAATATGTTCTGAGATATTGTCATATTTTGAGAATATAAGGACCAAAACAAGCAGTCTTCCTGGATTCTCCTTAGAATTTACAGTTGTTTTCAAGAGTGGGTATAACCACCATTTTGATTTCTCCTGTGTCCAAGATGGACAAGGTTCAGCCCCCTTTGCATCTCCCATCTACTTTCTGAGGTGGATACGATAAAAAAAAGAACTTGAAAAATCATCTGCCCCAATCCCCCTCTCTCCCCTCAAAAAAAAAAAAAAAACAACAGCTATTGGTGTTCTGTATTATTTCCTTTTTAGAGAAAGCACCAAAGAGTTTGGTTTTGTTTTTCTTAAACTCCATATATAATAAACTGTATATGTGTACTTTCCAGTGCTTTCTTTTGAGGAGCCCTCAGTAAACTAAAACATATTTCAGAATTCAAAACCTTTGGTCCAAACTAGCTCAGATTAATGAATGAAGACAGTTTCCTTTGAAAGAGGGATCTCTTTCAAAGGAAGGACAGTAGAAGCAAGTTGGCTAGAGAAGTCAAAATATTCTGGAGGTCAGCAGAATAAAGTGTATTTCCTAGCTATATGATGACTTTGTGAACAGTTATGCTATCTAACAATTTTCTCTGTCTTCCTGATAGACTTCTCATATCACCCAGAAATGAGATTAGTGGAAAGAAAGAAGTATGCGTTCCTAGTACTTTCCTTAGCATGCCGAAAAGACAATAGCAAGAAGTAGGATGAGATTGAAAACAGGAGTGGTTTTGCTCAGGTCTGAAGATACTGGGAAGATTTACATTGCAGTAGAAGAATGCCTAGGGTTGTTTTCCTTCAAATGTGCCAGGAGGTGGTACAAGACCTACTGGTAGTTTCATATGTATTGTCAAAACTACTGCCTACGACTGCACACATTCAGCTTCTTGTGAAAGACTGTTACAGGCAAGACCAAAGGAAAAATTACTCTTGCAAGCAATGCTTTGCCTACCCAAAACAAACAACAGCAAGGGTGGCTTGTGTAGCAATTTGTAGGAGGAGATCTGAGAATTTTCATCCTTTCTTTAAGGCTCGGATCTAGGAAACTAACCTGAAGGGTAAGAGAGCAAGAAGAAAGCAGTTGCAAAATTAAAACAAAAAAAGACTAACTGATAGAGAAGAAGAAATTGAGAAATTAAATTGCAGTAATGGAAAGGGATATGAAAAATCAGGCAGATGATAGAATGGCAAAAGAGAAAATTAAGGAAGACAGTTGCAACAGATGAGAGGGAGATATGGTTGAGATAGCTAAGAGGTGGTGTCTCAGATGGGACAATGAAGCCTTATGTGATACTGACATAGAACAGGAAAGAAAATGACCTCCAGGTGAAGGAGAGAACAAATGGAAGTAAAACTCAGATTCACCTCTGTATCAAAGAGATTCATCAAGGAGGTCAAGTGAGCATAATGTTAGCTCATCAGTCAAAAACAAGAGAGTGAGATGTGGACCAGAAGTTGCAACCTATCAGAGTAGGGATGGCAGGTGGAGCTGCCAGAGGCAGATGGATAGGGGACACCACTGTTGTCTACAAACATCATGGATATCCAACACTTGGAGTGAGAAAAGCAATTTGAATCGATACTGGTAGTAGAAAGAATGTGCATATAATAAAATGTTAGTAATCTAGAATTGGAATTAGAAAGTTCTGGAATTAGAAAGTTCCTAACCATCAGATCAGAAGGCTTCATCCCATTATGTGCTGTCCTATTAGGAACAGGGTATGCAAACACATCCTAGATTATCTTAAGGTGGAGCTTGATAAGTTTGGGGATGCAATCATATACACAATTGATATCCATGATGAATGAGACCAGATTGGATGTTGTAGGAGGACTTTCCTAGTCCCTGCCCTAATCTTATTTTCCTAATAATGATGCTATTGACTCATATGTATTGACCAGGACAGGTGCAGACAGACACACATTTGCCTCACTCCCTTTCCAAGCCAACTGGATGCCACCCACTTCTGGAATCTGTGTAGCTGGAGTGGCCCAGGGCTGTACCCAAGTTGTTAAATCTGTGCAAATACATGACTTTCAGATCTCAACTGGCTTGCTTTCACCTAACTTGGAGTGTGGGCGACAGAGTCCACACCTATCCATACACCCTCAGAAGGCTGTGCAGAGCTCACATGTTTGGTGCCTCAGAGGAGTGTGAAAATACGTAATTTAGGGATGCAGGGACTATACAGGGTGATGTAGCAGGGCTGAGGGGACTCAAGATCCCAGAAGTATAGTAGCAACATCTGCCAGTCCAGAGTGCCACAGCACCATGGTCAGGAGCTACATGCTTCTGTGTGACAATAGATTACAGACTAGTCTGATACACCACCAGTGTGTACCATGTCACCAGGAATGACAACTTGCTCTTAAATCTTTGGTTGCCCTCCCAGTTGTGTTGAGCTCCTAGGCAATGCTGCGCAGCTGAGATGTTGCCCTGTTCCTCCTGGTTAGTCTGTTATCATGCTTTGTATCTTGCTCCCAGGATGCACATTGCTCCTCAACAAATGTGCAACCCCCTGCTCATGCTGCAGTGGCCACAGCCATCTACTGCATCAAGTTACGCTCCAAGGCACCAACTGGTATTTGTGGATTTGGAAGCAAACATTTGTCTGTTGCAGGTGTATGGCCGATTACTTTTTATTGCTAATAAGATCTCAGTTAGGAAAGATCATTGGACCCTTCACTGTGTCATCATCTGCACAAACAAGACCTTTGTTTGTCACACTAGATTTCCATTTTTCCCTCCTAGTAAAAATCTATGGTTATGAGTGTGCGTGGGTTGCACTGTTTCCGCTGTGACTGGAATGGGACCATTCCCACGCTACTTGAAGCTTTGCATTCTTGGCTCCTGAGATTACTTGCAGATAGCTGTGGCCATGTCTTCCTTTGATGAAGGTGTTCTTATCTTAGGTGGGATGTGGAGTGCTTCATCTTGCAACATTTCTGCTCCCTCCCCAGGCAGAGAAAGAGAGAGAGAACACAGGAAGAATGACAACTTGTACTTTCAAAATCACAGCCTCATAAGGACAACAGTTGATAACAAGCCCAAGCAAAACCAAACTACTGACTCACCCTCCTCTCTCCTAGCCTACTGAGAAAGATTGAGGATTTCTGCACAAATAGTAACACTGACTTCAATTAGACCCTTTTTTTGTCATTAAAGGAATTGATGGTTTTTTTACACTATGCATTTATTGTAGAAATTTGTCTCCATTTTTTCCCCTGAGCCAGGCTGCTTTTATCAGCAGACCTGTGATAGAAAAGGGGCATATATTTCCTTGTGTGCTTCTATTAATATGAAGTTGAGAACTGCACATTTCACATACCCATACCCTACAATATTGCCCTGCCTGCAAATAAAATTATGTCTGAGATTATGACTTGCAAGTGCTTTCTAGCAAAAGTGAAATTTTAGGTTTTGAATAAAATGGCTTTGTTTCTACAAAAGAGGTAAGAAAGACATTCCACAGGGGAAAAAAAAAAAAACAACAAAAAAATAAACTTCATAGAAATATTAAAGGGGAAAAAAAAAAAAACAACAAAAAAATAAACTTCATAGAAATATTAATATAGATAGTATAGGTAAGACATAGATTTATAAATGTGATGTCCTGTGTGTGCCTTCTTGGTCATTTATGGGCAGGTGAATGACATCACAGAATTATCTTTGCTTCCAAGCCTATATCAGGTTTTTTGTTATTAGAAATACATGTTTAGCTGAAAGCGTAAGTCCAAAACCTACAGTTCAAAGGTCAGGACTGCAAATCTAAGCATGCTTCTGACACTAGTTAGAAGACATTAAAGTTAATATTGCAAGTGAAAACCAGATCCAGACCACTTCTGTAGAGATAGGATTCATTTCATTTTTACCATGTTAAAATTAAGCAGTGAATCTCAAATAGTCTGGTGGGCTCCTTAGCTGTACCAATAGGCAGAAGTAAAGCACTTCATGGTGTGATTCATCCAAAACTGAGGCAGGTGTCTGAGAGAAGGGAGACACATCTCCCTCAGAGCACGTCCCTCTCCATGCTCTAGAGAGAGTGCAAGTGACTCTCTTGCAAGATGGATCCCACCACTGGAAATGTCATGTTACTTTTGCTACTGGATCACTGCCTTACTTGGGGCTTACTAAAGCTTGGTCTTCAGTATCTCCTCTATTTATCCTTTCCCTGTAGTGTACAGGTGTTGCCATTATTTTTGTGTGCTGCTCAATTTAGCATAGAACACTGAATTTATTAATTTTCAGTGGGATTCCCTCATGTTCTCAAGTACAGTATTTACTAGCTCTTTACAAAAACTGATTAAAATCTTCAAAGATGTGTCAAAAAAGGAAGTCATTATTATTATATATTATTATATATTATTATATATTATTATATACCGCTTCTTTTTACAAAGGAAAAATGAAAACACCTAGATTAGAGTCGATGAAAGGTTCCTGCACTTCAAGTGTGCACAGACTGATTTTTCAGTGCTTACAGCACTATACATCATTCTGGATGTGTGAGACACAGCCTGTTGTGACCTGGATTGCAACTGTGAGAGCTTTCTCACTTCTGCAAACCATTTTTTTTTTCCAGGTCTTGTGTTTGCCACTGTGAAAAACCATAACCTTTTACTCCAGTTAACACTGTTAGTGGCAGCTTTTTTCTGGGACAGTACCACTCTGGAATAACGTCACTTCAATTGACGTGGCTGGCCTACACTCTGTAAGGTGTCATTCAACCAACTTCACTGTAAGAGCATTGTTTCTGGCACTGCAGATCCACCACAGGAGTTTGTAATCAGGTCATTAAAAAAGTTTATGATCATATTAAGAAGGAGGCTGGAGTAACATTTCACAAGCAATTTGAACTTACTTTTTCATTCTTGATATTTCAAATGTGGGTTACTTCTAACAATTTAAAAATATTGTCATAGGCTATTTTGAACAAATCAGCAATGGGAGAGGTGTCCCTGAGCAAAAGCTCTGCCTGGGTCATCAGCAGCAGTAGGTGCTTTATCTGGCACACTTCCAGCAGCTAAGCTCACACTCTAGGTGGTGGCAATACTGTCATCTCCTGGGCACTAGAGGGGGATGGATACACATGCTTTGTTGGTGGATATCACAGCTGGAGAAACAGTGCTTCTGTTTTCAACCCCAGACGCTAAAGAAACTGGTGACAAACCTTTCTTCATTGCTTCTCTCTCCATGTCTCTCCCTCTTTCTCTCTCTTTTTCCTTTTTTTCCTGGAGTAGGGATTTTCTGTTGTCACCCTGTTGCCTTCTGTTCATTTTTGTCTCTGCTTCTTCACTCCAATGGATTATTTCCATTGACTTCTAAAGGCTGTCTGATGCTGTGCAGGGAGAGCTCTTGGCTTTACTCCTAACCTCTGCTTACAATCCCTCACCTCTCCTGTTCCTGCCAGTTTCTTGTACCTGCACAGCCTCCAACTTCATGTGATGCTTAAATACAGTAAATACAGGTTCTTCCACTGTCCTCAGCAAGACAGTAGTATCTCAGCCCCTTTGAACAGGATACTGAGATAGATCTTTTGATCTTCTGAAGAAGCTTGTATTCAAAGTATTCAAATACTCATCCATGAGTATCAGCTCTAGTGGGAGTTCCATTTGAAGCCTAGTATTTGCCTTCATGGTAGAAGGTGAAGTCATCTTGAAAACCCAAGACATTGACCACAATCTTCCCTATGGAGCACTAGGCACTCTTTTCAGACATGGTTACATAGACTCACACCAGGCTAAAAGAATCATCAGCAACTACAGCATTGTCTTCCAGGTGAGCCAAGCGATGGGAACTTGGCATCGTGCCTTCCAATTCAAGGAGAGCTGAGTTGAAGCTGTTGTACATCATGTAGATAAGGTCGAAGACCTTGAACAGATTTTGATAATAAAGCTGTGAGTAGAGACTGTCTGGTGTCCTCTCATTAGCCTGAAATTCAGGCTACAGAACCATGAACCGTGTCCTGGGTTCAGGTTGCTGGTGAGTCATTAAGCAGACCTTTGTGTTATGAAGGTAAGCTGGATTCCACATAGAAATGAGCTCTATTAATAAGTTGCTTCTGTCTCTCTCTTCTCCTTTTTTTTGTTCAGCCTTTTTGCTCCTCTCTCTAAGCCCCCATGACTGTTTTCCCGGTACATTTTACCTTTTTCTAAAATTCCTTCCTCTTCCCACTGGGCTGAGGGTATTCCTTCCCCTCTCTACACTCTTCAAACCAGCAGTGGGAGCACCGAGATGAGAGCATAGCCCTTCTACCCTTTTCCATTGCAGAAGCTGCTGTATATGCAAGGCCAGATGAGCCCTGCTCCTTCTACCCTGGCCTGTGGCTGTGCAAGTGGAGCATCTGTAGTAGAGGTAGAAGCTTATAGGAGTTGGGAGGTGTTTGAACTTGTATGTCTGCTACCAAATGATACTGTAGATATCAAATGTAAAAATTCCAGTTTTGGCTGTATTCCGCTTGCTTAAATCTTAAGAAGCACAGACCGGAACTAATGTTTTCATTCAGCATCACAAACAACTAACCATGGAATATCCTGTTACCCTGCACCAACAGATCTCTGGCAGTACTACTGAAGCATTTGAACAAGAGAAAAGCTACTGAAAACTTCTACTCTGAGAGATTTCCATGGAAAATATTAGTCCAAAAATCTGCAGTTCTGAAAAGTTTAGTTAGCTTAGAGACACAGGAACGTGAGTTGTGTTTACTGTGGAGGTTGTTACTTCCATGATCACTACTAGCCAGGGCTTAGCTGGTTTGTCTTGTTTGGGGTTTTCTTCTTCCCCTTTATATTTGTAATTTACTCCTGGATTAACAACGTGGGAGAAAAATGTGTGTTCTTTTGTCAAAACTGATAAGTACTAAAATCTTAGGATAATTTAAACTTCTTTTTTCCTTAGTTGTTTGACTTCTAGAAGCCCTTTCAACATCCATCTCCTCTGATGTGCATTTTTACATATACATTATACATGTGTACATATATATATATATATATTTACAAGTTCTCTTTCCTTTGACTTTAGCTTAACAGTCTAAGGAATTCTAAGCTATCATACTCTTTGTCTGTCTACCTGTCTGTCAGTTCTCATTTGGTGAATTTGATCCCACTTGCCAATCAAAACTAGGCCGGATCCACTACTGAAAGAACTCAAAAATTCCTTTAAGTTTCATGGAAACCATTGGGAGAGGAATGGGACAGGAATTGGATACAAATATCTTCCCCTGTTGCAGCTAAAGTATAAGCTCAATGTTTTTTTCATCCTGACAGATGGGCAGTCGGCACACACATCACTTGGCACCCACCCCAACACGTGCTGCCTCTTCTCCAGCCAGAGGGGTAGGAGACAGAGACATTTTTGGGGCATGCCATAGTGCATTTGGAGGTGGAGACGTGGAACTCTTGCAGTGAGAGACGTAGGAACAGATTGTACACATCTGCAGGAAACCGTATTTTAGCATTTCTGCTGTCCAAGGAATATCTGACATCTATTTGGAAGGAAGTGAGGGTAATTATAGAAGGGTACAGGCAGGGCTAAAGGGAAAAGGTCTTAAATGTGTAGGAAACTGGGCTACATTAGTTCTGCCGCTTATGGCATGACACAGTAACTTTCATTTATAACTTCGTTATTCCCATTCTGGAAACAATCCTGAACAGCTTTTGTCCAGTCAACAAATTTTTGATTCATGTTGTTTAGTTCCTTAGTTAGGGAAGGACTTAGTATATAATGGGAGAGGGATTTAATGCCCACAGTTTGCTGCAAGACTTAGAAAAGAACCTATAAGCAAGCATTTACTAAGGGGGAGCTCCATCCAGCAATTACAACCAAGGACTAGAGTTCTCAGTGGAACAGAAAAAGGTTTGAGATTAGGGACTGTCAAGGAAAAGGAAGGAATTATACTGATTTTACCATTGACCAGCCTTTTATGTATCTATCTTCAACTGAATAAAATTTACCATTGCCCTTGTTCCTTAAAGCCAAAAGCATATAGTATAAACAGCTGTAAAAATGATCACTAGAAATAATAGAGTTGAACCTAGCAAAACTGGAAAGTGTGCTCCTAGACACTCTTTAAATACTTAGACTAAGGGTTTTTTAAAGGACACAGTATCATGAAATGTTTGATTTTCTCTGCTTTTAATTCTAAAATGTTACAAAATGACTTCATTGTTGAAGCATATATGGCTTACAAATATGCATCAATGATTTCTTTGAAATGTGTTTATCTAGGTCATAATATTCTCTGACCTCTTCAAAATGAAATATTTTATCACTCAGATGTCATTTGTTTTCCAAGCCAGTCTGGCTTGATATATAGGGTTTCTATAAGTAGTACATTTAGGGTGGCCTCTCCTAGGATGGGCCTGAAGAAGAGCTCCTCAATAGCACCTGCATCAATGTCTCGAAGGGACATGATTAGCTGAAGAATCGAAGAAAACCTGCCGAGGCTTCCATGGAACATTGTTGAGATAAACTCCATCAGGGCTTTCTGAGCTTCCTGCTGCAGTGATTGTACATAAGGGAGCCATCTCAGGACACAACGTTCTGTCAAAACAAGAAGTAAAATAACAAATCCTGAGTAAACACTTCTGTTCTGTGCCCTTTGTAATGATGGGTGTCTGGATTTCTAGCTTATAGCACTACTTTCTCTATAGAAAAAAAAATAAACGCTTTCTAAACATACCTTTTGGAAAAAGAAGATATGTCTAGCTCAATAATTGGAATGAGCATTGAGCAGCACTGTAAGCACATTCGAATCTAGCCCAATACTTTAAAATCCAGATTTGAACTGGTAACAGCAGGTAATTTTGGCTCAGTACTGATGAAGTTTTCTAGTGTGGTCTACACACTAAATGATACTGAGATGGTGGTCTGGGCCAGTGGAAATATTCCAGCTCTATCAACATCAGGAGATGGAGATGATGGTTTGGAGCAGTGAGCAGCCTTGCAGTCTGAAGATGTAGGTTTCCAGCATAGCCCCATCTCCATTCTATTGTTGCCCTGCTTACTAGACTAAGCTGAGGCACTGTGGTCCACCATACTATCTAGGTATTTTCATTACAGTCTGAAAAGAGCAAGGGGAGTGCCTCAGCAAGAGGAGTGCCTGAAGGAGAGGTCTTTGCCCTATGGAATCATGATCAAACCTCAATCACATGCCTCCCATAGCATGTGACCTGCTGGCTCACCGAGGGCGTTTGTGGGTGCCAGAACTCGGCGCTAAGGTCTCAGCGCTGTGTTCATTTTTGCCCCTGGAGAGATTGCCTTGCCATGTAGCTCTCAGCAACCTGTTGCCTCCTGCCCTCACTCTTGCAGTCTGGACAGAGGGTAGAACGTGCTCTTTGGCATGTTTTACAGTGACTGACTCCATACCTCCCTGGGACAGAGTCTGAATAGCTCACACCAGGTGTGTTTCACACAGGATCATTCATTTCAGTGTAGGAAGTTCAGCACTCTTGCCTAGTGCCCTGTACCAGAGCAAAACCAACCTGGTTGGGTTTCCTTCAGTCTGTATCTGGCTAACTGTTGTCAGCCTTCAGCAGCTCTCTTCTTCCTAGACATCACTGCCAGAGGAGAAGAAGCCTCAGCCAAACCTGCAATCAGGCTAGCCAGAAATTAGAAGTTTGGAAAAGTCATCACCTCCTCCAGGATTACCAGCTGCAAGCTGTGAGGATGGTTCCAAATGTTAGATTTTTCATGGAAAATAAATTGTCAGGATTCTGTGGATTCAGGATGAAGTTGCAATAGTTTATGCCTCTTAAAATATGCTTAATTTCCCCATTTGGTCTTCTTTTCTATGTAACCAAACACTGGTTTTAATTTACATATAATGAGACGCTTCTTGTTCTGAGATCTGTTCTAATAATAATCAGTCAAACACACGTTTCCAGCTGAACTGTAAACCTCTTAAGAGTATCTTTCTTTTTAACAGAAGCCCTATCACAATCTTGATGGAGTTTTTGAATATATATCTGGGTACATAAATATGTATATGTATAGTACTGATATAATAACAGCACTGTTTTTCACTGGTCCTATCTCTTCACTGTGCAGTCCCAATTGCTCTTCAGACAACTGTCAAAAACACCAAAATGTTTTCACCATGCCTTGTGCTGTTCCTGTGTGGCAGAACAGTCCTACCTGCTCCTTCCTTTGACTTGTTGCCTGGGTCCAAGTAGAAAAGGTCTTGCAGCTGGACCATCCACCCAGAGGTACTGAGACAGCTCCAAAGCCACCCAGCCAAAGCTCCCCTGGGAAGAGTGGGGATGCCAGTATGTTCTGGAGAGTCTGGATTCTGTTGATGCAAGGTGCCGGTTTCCCCTCAGGGGCTGGTGTGCAATTTCTCGTTTGCAGGTTCTTGCTGGCCCAGATGTGGTCAATCAGTAATGCAGCCAGAGCCTCCCACACAGGTGCTGCACAGATTCTGTTGCTATTTCCAGCTCTGGGGCCCTCAGCATAAGAAGGACATGGACCTGCTAGAATGACTCCAGACAAGGGCCCTGAAGATGATCAGAGGGCTGGAGCACCTCTCCTATGAACACAGGCTGTGGGAGTTGGGATTGTTCATCCTGGAGAGGAAAAGGGTTTGGAAAGACCTTAGAGCAGCCTTCTGCTACCTAAAGGGCTTCACAAGAAAGCTGGACTGGGACTTTTTACAGGGGCCTGTAATGATTGGAGAAGGGGGAATGGCCTTGGGCTGAAAGAAGGTAAGTAGGCTTAGGTCAGATGTGTAGGCAAAAATCCTTTACTGTGAAAGTGGTAAGGTGTTGGAACACCTTGCCCAGAGATGTTGTGAATGCCCCAGAAGCTGGCCAGAAGGCCAGGCTGGATGGAACCTGGTCTAGATGTCCCTCCCAATGATGGGGGGGTTGGACTAGATGATCTTTAGGGTCCCTTCCAACCCAAACATTCTATTATTCTAGTAGGAGGACCTACACTCCATCGTGCTGCCTGCTACCCTCTTGCCAGAGGGATTTTTCTAATCATAGTAAGCACAACATCCATGCCACAAGAAATCACTTAGGGTACAAGCAAACCTTTGCAGAGTTGTCATGCTTCTTATCCAAGTGATGGCTGCTACAGCTGCATGCCTGAATGTCCTGTTGAGCTCCAGCTCAGGATCCAGCTCTGGACCATTCTGGACCTGGCTCTTCCCCATTGTTTTGGTCAGTTTTTGTGGTCTCAACAGAAGTAAAACATTAAGGTAATGAGGTACTACATAATCCAAAAGTGAGTTAGATTACCATTGTAACTGCTGGTGACTTCCTGAAATCTTTTTAGAACTGAGGCCCACAAAAATAGTAGCATTTTGCCAAATATTAAGCTAAAAATCAAAAAGTTTGAAAACATCTTGCAAATATGTAGAAAACATTTTCTGAGTTTGGTGGAAACTGTTGAAAAACTATTAAAAGTAATAGTTTTGAAACAAGAACTGTACAGATTTGTTTGCAGCAAAGGGTGGTTTGGGGTGTGTATAAGACCTGAGTACTTGTTTCAGCCCAGAGTTGGATGACAACTCTGTTTCTTATGGAGGCTTAACTGAATCTAAGCTTAACTGATGCTGTCCAGGCTGTCTTCTGCAGCTTATGGAGAAATACTCCAGAGAATAGGGTCATCCCACCTAACTGCTGAGTGTCATTCCTGAAAGTGTGGAATGTGTCTGCAGACAGCATCGAGGGCTGCTGGCTCTCTCATACAGCACCCTGGGGAAGCAGCAGCTTCCTGCTTCTGCTACTTTCTCCTTAAGCAAAAATTGTATTTTACTCACAGAGAAAATTAAAATTCCAGCTTGTTAAACTGTGTAAGCTGCTGCAAATGAGGCCTTTCTCCTCTTATCATCCCCCTGGATATAACCAGTGATTCCTTTTAGCCTGATTTTATTGTGAAAAAAGGTTGAACTGAAACAAGCTCCTCTGGTTTGATGCTGCTGCATAGACACTCAAGGCAACACCAAGCATCTGGATGACATTACACCTCAAGAATCAGAATCTGAATCCCATTGGAAACAAATACAAAGTCACACAGCCTTTGAGCAGCCTATAAACCATCCACCACAAGAAATATAATGGAATAACTGAAGCATTCAAGTATGCTTTTGGTGCAGTCCCAAGTACAGCACACTGCTGACAGTGCAGTCAACACTTTGATTGCTGTGGAAGGAGGCGGGGATCTGAGCCAGAGCAGGCTGGAGTCAATAAGTCTTTCCATTTGCTTTAGTGTACTTAGAGCTCAGCTGTTAATGACTCATGCACTCCATGGTGCTGACCGAGGCAACCTTCCTTCCTAAGGAGCCTGAACTTGGGATCAGAAGTGAGAGGATGCAATCAGTAGTCTTAGTTTGCTCTGTGACTGCTGTACCAGGCTTTTAATATAAAGATACTAAATTATACAAATGAAGGATATGCATACATAAAAGCTGTGTAACCTCAACACAGCCTCCTTTTTCCTGATGAAAATCAGACGGTTATCTTCTCCAGTGTTCATGTTACTGAGGAAGCCTTTGTTAAATTACTTCTAAAGCTCACATCACGTGCCCATGCACCATCTCTCCTTTGCTGTGATGTGAGGGTGAGGCTGCTGTATCACCTTTGAACTGGAAGTCAATTTGAGGTTACACACATAATTCTTTACTACTTAAAATTTGTGTGATAGAGATTGTTTTGGCTTACAGTGGGTGACATCCTGCACGTATCCAAAGAACCAAAATAAACCACATCAGGCAGAAAAAACTGTTAAATCATGGAATACAGGTCTTTGAGGACATTTAGTTATATTCATAGAAAAGAGTAAAAATAAACATTTGTCTGTACATAAATAAAAATGCCAAATATCTTTCTAGATCATATACATATATTCATTTGTGTCTTTTCTGGAAGGACTTACCAGAATTAAAAAGAATCATTCCTTTAAGATAGGCATATTCTTTTGCACTTATGTCCAGATCCCAGAATTTCCACAATAAATTCTTCATCTTCTGAACTTCTGCTAAAGATGCTCCTGCTGATGAGCTGCCCAGTTCATTCATAGCTGTTGAAGACTGATTGAGGAGGATTTTTTTCAATAAACTGGTGGCTGGGATCTCTCTCAGGTCAAAATCCACCCCTTCTTGTGCCATGCCCAGGACAAAAAGAGGGGCCCAGTTCCGTTGTATGAGGACAAACTGATCCTCCCAAGGCATGTGATAAAAAGAAGGTAAGTTTCTAATAAAAATTGAAGTCTTCAACAGCACTTCAAAAGCTCTTCTGCATGTGGCTTCTGGTGTTCTCAGGACAACTCTTCTCCTGTCCAAACAAGGGCAGCCTTTGCTTCTTGTGGAGCTGTGGGGACTGCAATGCTGCTGGTGCCACTTGGTCTCACTTCCATGCTCTTTGTTAAGGATCTGGTACAGGATGCTTTTAGAATGGTGTGTCTCACACTGACATTTCCCAGATTTCTCAGCTGGGATCTTGGCGGCCATGGAGGCAGAGTTCCCTGTGGCAGGAAACAGCATGTCTGCAGCTAAGCATCAGCAGCAGGAGAGGGCATTTCTGCCACACAGGGAGGCACTGTACAGCTATATACACATGGGCAGGTGCTGAAAAGAGATATGACCCTGATCCACAAGGTTACCTTGAACTTTACCTGCACCAGTGTGTTTTGAACGAGGCGTGGCTGCAAGCTGCTGGCGTCCCTGGGCTGCTGCAGCCCCAGGGGAGTGGGTGGCATGGGCCAGTCCCAGGGGCAGTCCTGGGGATGGAAATCCTGTGTTTCAGAATTACCTCATGTTTCTGTGAGATTTGAGAGAAACTTTAGAAAAGGTAAGCTGTTGGAGCTCATGACAGTGCTCTCTCTTGCATTTCACAAATGATAATTTCAAACACAGAATGTGAGGGCTTAGAGTCAAAGAATTGATTATGTTGGAAAAGACCCTTCAGATCATCGAGTCCCACCATTTACACAGCACTGCCAAGTCCACCACTAATCCATGTCCTCAAGTTCCACATTAACATGCTTCTAAGTGCCTCCAGGAATGGTGACTCTACCCTGAGCAGCCTAGGCATCAGGGCATTGATGCAAAACAACACAAGACATCCAGTATAGTTTCCTCCTTCAGAATATTTCTTCCAGACAGGTTTGTAATTAAATTTTCCTCATAAAAACTGATGAATAAAAAATGGTAATTCATACTACCGTACATGTGAACTTTTGTAGCAGCTCAAGAGCTGAATGATTGTATTGTCAGAACTCTTCAGTCAACATCAGGGAACACTAAGCAACAGGAATGAAAGACCTTAATAAGAAAACAACAGCTTGAAGGTCTTCATCTGCCAGATCTCCAAGCCTTTGGTGTGTAAAGGCCCCCCCACCACCACCAGATGCATAACTGCAAATTTGTGTTTTGCTGCACCAGGTTGGTTTTTTTTTTTCCATGCTGGGCCAATTTAAAAATTACATTTCTTTACCTCTTCCTGATATATATGTTGCAAAATTTTCCCCTTCTGAAGAGAGGAAAATGGAGGAAGAGATGACTGCTCAAAAGTTGATAATATTAGGAGTGTAATGCTGCTGAGGTGCAGATACTGCCCACTGCTGTGGAGGTCCAAGGCACACACAGCACTGAATATCTGGTGGTATTTGCTTGTCCACCTCTCCATTCATTCAACAGCTCCCTGTTGCTGTTCATTGCTGGGATATCAAAGAGCTTTGTAAATTAAATGGCACAACAACAACAGAGAAGTCCCCAGGATGTCTGTAGAAAGTCCCATGCTTTTTATTCATGATGTAAAATTTAAGCTGGGCTGAGATTCAATGGAATGAATTCCAGTTACTGGGCCATTGCCATCGGAGGTTCAGTGTGAATTACCTTGATTGGCTAATGGCTGTACTAGAAAGAGAGACTGAGCTCACTAAAATCATTCTTGCAAAGTGTTTGCTTGTGAAAAGAAGTTCTGTCTCCTAACTGCTGGTGAGCGTGGTGATGTTTCAGTAATCTAGGCAGCAGAGTTCTGAGCAGCCCAGCTCCTGTGCTCCAAGAGCAACATCTCGTGGTTAACCATTTCACTCTCTTAGTTCATGTCATTATTTCACAGCTCCTATTAACTGTGCTTATGAAAATTCTACTTCAGGTTAAATTGGTTCTTTTCCTACCTTTCCTTCTGAGGTCTGCATCAGTCATATGCAGAATCCTGATGTCAGCAACATATGATATTGGATACCATTTCTATTTGTCATCACTTATTTCCTTTGGTTGTGTGTAAATCTAAGAGGCAGGAGCAAATTATATTTCTATCAGAAATTCCTGGTGTGTATATATATATATATATAATTACATAGTAACTTGATGAGTGTTTACCAAAAATCAGAGTAAAGGTCACTGAATCAGTATGAGTGCCTAGGACGCATTATGCATTATGAGCTTTCCTGAGAAAATGATTACTTAGAATTATGAGTCAACATTGAATTGCAGGTGAAACTGATCCTGGTCATCCTGATTCAAAATTGCCTGAAATGAACTTTCTGCATGAACCAATTTTCTCAAAGGTAGAAGACCAGCAGCCAAATTCAGCTCTATACTCATAAACCAGGCAACATTTAAATTTCATTCTAAATCTTACCTGTAGAATGTTTGCAGCCACATGCACCTGGATATAAAGCATCTAAGTCTTGATGCTAAGGTAGCAATGCTTTGTACTTTTAAGGAAGCATACAATACAAATATGATAAATACCCATGGATTTTTATCTATTTGAGCTTTCTCTAGCATGCTGGCTTCAGAACAATAAGACACAGTTACATCAGTGTTATTTTTCTGTTTTTCATTTATATACTTATCCTCCAAATAATTTTGTACCATCAGCAGACATTCATATTCTCAAATTTTGAGGGCACTGCTCTTCAGAATAGTTCGCTCGATGCAGTGAGTTGTTCAAAAGAGAATAATAATTTAACTATGGGACAGGAAATCTGACACTGTCCTTATAGTAGAGCATCCATATATACATGTTGGACTATACATATGTGCACCATGTATATAGTAACTATGTTATTTCCAAGCACTGATGTGAGCTCTCCTACTTTTCTAAAAGGTGAGATCGGAGGCAGATGCATTTGTGGAGGAGAAGAATCCTCTGCTGTTATTTCATATGGGCTATAAGAAGGAAATGCCTTCCTAGGAAATTCACAGCAGCCTTTCTGGCGTCACAACAGATTGATATAATTCACATATCCCTTGATTCAGTGACCTCTTATCACTCTGGTCTCACTTGCAAGCATTTAATTGGCCTATAAACATCCACATGACTTCAGAACAGGAATATCAGGAGTTTTATACAATGTGCTTCCTGGGAGAAGTTGGGTGAATTCCACGTCACTGGCACTTTTGAGGACAGCTGACGTCTCTAACAGCCTTAAGAAAAGGAAGCAGTAATAAAACCATTATCTTTCCAGAAGGGTTCCATTTCCTCCATCATTCTGGGGCAATAAAGGCATTAATTTCTCAGCTAGAGAAACCAAGAGCTACCATTCAGACTGCCAGCTTTGGCTAGGCAGATACTGGGAAATACCAGGCCCACATTGAAGCCTGCTCAACTTTTAAATGAGTCCTGAAACAGTGTCTTTAACTTATGCCATGGTAAAGTAGGATTTCACCCTTATATCTGAAGCAAGTCTACATGAATTATGAATCCAGTTAATTTAAACATGTTTAGCCTACCTTGAAGCTCAAGTGATTGAGGGTAAGCATGTGCTTAAAATACTTTGGTTGGTTATGTCTGATAAAATCAGCATCTTTTGGATGATAGCCATTTGAATAAATTAGCAAATTATTAGAGAGGCAGCTGCCCTGCCATGAAATGTTGTCTATCACTGAAACTAGGCCTGTTTTAAATTTGCCTCTGGTTAGATATGAGCTAGATAGAAGGCAAGCATCTCTGAACTTCTGCCCCAAATCTTGATGCAAAACAGGAGTTCTGAGAAGCCCCCTCCCTAAAAACTTATCCAAAGCATCATATTTAACTCATGTCCTCCTGTTCTTTGTTTCAGGAAACCTTGGAGTAGCATTAAAAGATTTAAAGACTTTTTGGCAGGTGCTGCTCACTAGCTGAAGTAGGAGTGTTCATTTTGAACCAAGGACATTTTGTTAGAGATATTACGCTGCCTGACTATGTCTCAGCTGTTGCAAATGTGAAGGCAAACATGTGCCATCTGGAGTTATAACCAAATACAAGACTAAAATATTAGCACAGAAAGTAAATAACAGCTCATCGGTGCTTCTCAGGCAGAAGACAGGATGACACAGGAACATATTTCTTAACTCTTCAGTTTCTTACAAATCTAAAGAAGCAATAGATTGTTTTGCATACATATGCATAAATAAACCCAAAACAGCTCTTCATGTTGTTTAAGAAAGGAAAGACACAAAAAAACCAACAAACAAGCAAAAAACAAACAAACCCAGCTGGATAAGTAAACTCTTTCCATGATTTTTTAATAGCTCTAACCTGTCTCGCAGGAACATGGGGTCAGAGTCTTCTTCACCACTTTGCACACAGTAGAAAATGTGCTGCTTCTGGGACATTTCTTCCTTGGTGACAGGTAAGGGATTGGTTTCACTTGTATTTGGAAATGGACATGAATCTGAAAACATGAATAGCTCTTAAGCTGCCCAACATCGATTGTTTGCTTTCTTCATACTGAAATTTTTACATGGGTAAATTGGCAATTATTTATAAGGGCACACATTAGGATGTAGAGGTTCTAAAATAAACCAGAAGTGATCTTGTACAAGTCTGTGCCGTTTTTTTCCAGCTCCCCCACTGAGGAGATGGTGTTTGTATAGACACCCCTATCAGCGCTGAGACAGGCACCATCTGTCATTTTAAATACAGATAGATGTACAGCTTATTATTGCTCAGCAAGTGAAAAATGCTGCAAAGCACAGTTAGAAAATGTTCCTGGCTAGCAATGCCATCTCCAGAGTGGCACTGAAAAGCAACTCCTCCTTCAGCCCCCTCCCCTGCTGAGAAGAGTGGTTTAGATGATACACTTTTTAATGTAGTGTAGAGCCCACCATCATATTGAAGTTTATCTTATTGCAGTCTGTCTTATATCATTGAAGATAAACGCCTAATCTAGTGATTAGCACTCCATAAATACCACAGATTGGTGAGTGAAGGTTAGATGGCAGACTAGATATGTGGTGTATATCTTCAGACTTGCCTTTATACATTTTATTTATGATCAGATTAGCAAGGCCCAAGAAACTGAATCCCAAACTCTTTCATTTTATTTTGAAATATATAGGGACAAAAAGATCAAAGGTTTATTCTGCAAGAAACATAGGACTAACATTGAATTTTCCCTGTTACAAAATCAACATGCCCAAACTTCTCTCGCTGTTTGCCACAGGATAACTTCTCTACTGATAATTTGTGATTTAAATATCTGACTATTTAGATTAGGGGAAAAGAAGAAAGCAGTTTTATCTGAAAATCTGTATTTTCTAAGAGGTCAGAGTACTTAAAACCAGAAAATTCTCTGTTGTTACATACAATACATACTCAATCTCTTAAACCTTTACCTGAC